CCTATAAAATTACGCTAGCATATGCTAATTTTACTATAATTTAAATCACATTGCTGCTGTCCTTGCATGTGCTAAGCAATGACTGGAACAAGGGCCACCATTAGAGCCTTGCCTTCAGTTCCAACACATACACAACGATTTCTGATTTACCTGATCAGAGTTGAGAGTTGGGCAACAAGTTGACCTTGACTTTCCATTCTGTTCCCTCTAACTTTCACCATTTTTTACTTGATAATGATGTTACGTGTGCTTGTCTTGTGGTTTGGAGCAGCTATTAGAGTGTTTTATAGAAATGAACTCGATGTGGAATTGAAGACCTATACGGGAGTTTCAAATACTTATAAAGCAGTCACATTTACAAGTAGATGCCTCACCTTCACTACCGGGCTCTGCTACTGTCTTTGGGGTGAATCATTTGCCATAATACTGCCCAGGGATAATTTAATCCTAGCAGTTGTAAATTAACTATGCACCTTATTTGTCAGGGCTGTTCAGCTAATTTCACAACTTTGAGTCAGAGCTGCAAAATACTTTCAACACTTCTCATTCTTTACCTCCAACAAACAATGGAAAAATGTTCTTGTCAGATATCAAGGAGCGCTTACAGAAAATTGCACGGCTTCATAATTTGTGCATTTGAACCAATTAAAGTAATGCAAAATAATAGGAAATAAGACAAGAAAATAGGCAGAGAAACACAAAAATCACCAGAACACACAAGCATGATGTTTCACATTCAAATGATCACTTAATGTCCAGGTTCTTTTGCTGAATTTAATATACAAATGCTAAGGCTAATCTTAAAACGTATCTTCATATTTCTGTTCTTTAAAAAATACTATACATTACATAACATGCCAGGGTGGTTCTCACCTATGTGCGGAGTTTGCATGTTCAGCATGTTCATGTGCAATTTAGTAATCTAAAAAACACGCGACGTAACTGGGATGAGGAATGTCTGCCCTGTGATGGATGGGCATCAGTTCTAAGGCTCTTCCTGTCCCACATCCCAGGATAGTCACCTGATATTCCGTGACCCTGCATTGGAAAAGCAGCTTTATATAAATAAATGAATAACAGCAGTCTGCACGTGCTTTACAATCGTACCTTTGGTGTTTGTACTTCCGCGTGACAAATTAACATATACTTAGGAAACACATAAGTTACTGTGCTACTTTATTGATCTAAAAAGAGAGTACACCTTCTTTAAATGGAACACTAATATTGTCTGAAACTCAGCAGCATATCATACCCAGACCCTGAGCAAGATAAGTGACTGAAGGACGAAGGGGTGAATTTTACGATATTTCTCTTTCAGAAGTTGCCAACAGGCAAGATTTGTTAGATGTGTAGTGTTTCAGAAAAATTCTGGAAAAATCTAACCAGAGAATCTCAGTAAAATGGGAAGTAGAATACTGAGAGTAATTGTGTTTCCTGACACCCACATTACTTATGTTTCTGAAGAGAGCTGTCGTAGGAGTAACCCATGGGAAGAGTGCGAGAAGAGTGTGAGAAGAGTGTGAGAGGACAGAGAGGGTCAGCAACAGCCTCCCCAGGGCGACACTTGCAGAATCAGAATCTCCCTGGATGGAGATCCACCTGCGGGAGACTGACTAACGTTTCATGGAGACTGATGTGAGGGATGCCAGTCTCACCAGAGGTTTACTTGCTACGATTCATACATAGATCAAAATCAGCTGAGCTCACGCCAGCTTAAAATTAATTTGAGTTTTGATGATGTTCTTAGTCATGAAGCTGCAGCAGGTCGTAGTTACAGCGGGCATACAGACCACCTCATAGTTACAGCGGGCATACAGACCACCTCATAGTTACAGCGGGCATACAGACCACCTCGTAGTTACAGCGGGCATACAGAGTACCTCGTAGTTACAGCGGGCATACAGAGT